TTTGTCAATCTAAAATGGTAATTGTGCATTAACAGCTGTCAACCATGTTGGTACGCAAACGCGCGCTCTGAACTAATTTACACAGCGCATTTCTTATTTTGGTTGCACCTGCGAACCACTTATGTGCACCCCTGACTATAATTATGGTTAATACTAGGCATGATGTTGTGTGTCAGTAGACCAAAATTATTAAGCAGTGCCATAACCATAGAATCTCAATAGGTGGGAGCTATGCTAAAGAAACTGAAAGCAATAATGTGAGCACATAAAGAGAAAGCTGATAAAATAAATACAACCCAAGAAAATTTTAAGAGAATATGAAGATGCATTATTCTCAGACTGGTATATTGTAATCTTACTCAGACAAGGATTATTAAAAATCCATATTACTATCATATAAATAACACATTGATTATTTATTATTGCCCCTGCTTAAACAGAGTGCTTTGATAAAGCACTCTATATTGGAATGGCTACTAGGGCAGACCTCAAATACTGTATCACCTCTGCTTATGTTCATGCTAAATTTAATTAGGCAGATGTATTCAGTGCTGTATTTAGTATTGGAGTATTCAAACCTATAGCCTGTAAATAAACTTATGTATTGCTCTTTTGCCTTTTTCCATGTGTCACAAACAACCCTAGGTAAGGTCTAATGTACACATCTCGCTATCTTAAATTTATTATTATTATTATCTCCACCTACACAAAATTTGTTGCAAATGTTACAGTCAATTTCAACAAATATGTCTGTGTGCTGTTAATATCACCTCAGATGAAAACACTGACCTGCTGTGGAGCCCACTTCTGTCCTTTCCTTAAGACCATGAGGACAGTGTTGCCTTTTAAGGTCTGAAAAAAGTCCTCTGTATCCACACCAGTTCCATCCTCATCCAACACGAAAGCACTGACGCAGTGCATGTGGAATACGTCCATCACCTAGAAGGGAAAAAGCATTCAAAGAGCTTTAGAGCAACTGTGATGGAATTTCAAGCAGTGTTTCTGTTCCTGGCTGGCTCTATATGGCACTAACCCTCCAACTTTTGAGTTATCACATATATTTATTTGTTCTATACACTACTATATTAAGAGCCAAAGTAAATAACAGTTCTAATGGAAACATTATGTGATCCAACGTGTAACGAGGGATCAACGGAGTGAGTATCCATGAGCAGCTTTATTGAATAGAAGAAGTCAGACAGGCAGGGTTCAATCGCAAACAGGGAAATCAGAGGCGAGACAATGGTAGCGTCAGTGAACAGGAGAAAGGTTGAGGCAGGCAGCAAACATTACAAATGTTAGTCCAAGCAACAGAGCAAAGAGTTCAAGGCAGGCAGCAAACAATCGAGAAACCGGTAACAGTCCAGTGTAAAACACAGTAATCCAATTGAAAAATACAGAGAATCCTCAGCAATGTTAGCCGGGGCAATACAAGACTTCGCAATGTGTTTGTGTGCAGCTAAGATAGTCCTGGTAATAAGTGAGGGGTCGAGGATGTCCTCGCAATTGACCCGAGACCGCTCCTCCGGTCCATACCCCTCCCAGTCCACGAGATACTGAAGAATTCTTCCCCTGTGTCGGGAATCCAGGTTTTCTCGCACCTGGTAAGCCTCCTCTAGGTCGTCCACCCCTCTCGGAGCACCAGCGGCTTTAAGCAGTGAGACATGAAAGGTGGGTGAGATACAATATTCCGGTGGTAATGCTAAACGATATGAAACAGGCGTAATTTGTCGGATGATTTTGAATGAAACCATGTACCTGGGACTTGAGTTTGCAGCAGGGTAGCCGGAGACTAAGGTCACGTGTGGAGAGCCAGACCCACAGGCCAGGAGTATATTCGGGGGTTAGGGTGTCGACGACGGTCAACACGCTCTTTCGGTCTTCTGACAGCTCGCTAAAGATGAGAAAGAGAACGGAAAAAAAACGGAAAGAGAAAATGGAAAGAGAAAGCGCGATCTATATTATATAGATCACGATTTCTCTTTCCGTTTGCTCCGTTTTTTAAACACCGAACTTCAAACTCATCTATGCCTTATTGTTCATTATTGAAGTAAACCTGTGTCCATTTGGTGATTAAATAAACTGTTTTAGACCGCTGCTTGAGTTGAATGCGACACGTCCTGTTCATTTCAACATTTACTATTACTATTATTATTATTACTACTACTACTACTAGTAGTAGTATGGTTCAGTACTGTTTTTTTAATAAATAACTATTTTAGTGTTTGTTCAGTATCCATTTAAAAAAATATCGGTTAATTAATCGGTATCGGCCAGTGTGGTTCATCCTAGCTATCGGTATCTGCAAAATCCACTATCGGTCGTCCTCTAGTGTTGCCCATGGAATTAGGTAGGTCGGTGATGAAATCTATTGCAATGTGTGAACATGGCTATTGAGGGATAGGTAGGGTTGGAGCAAGCCTGCCGGCATCTGTTTGGAGGATTTGGTGGTATTACAGATGATACTGTGCTGAACATATGAGATGGTATCTGCCTGAAGCGTGGGCCACCAGAACTTGTTGGTGATAAGTTGGATGGATGCTGTCATACCTGGGTGGCTGGAGCTGATCTGGTTGTGGACATGCTGAATGACCTGTTTATGAAGGGATGAGGGAACATAGGTCTTGTCTTGTAAGGTGGACATTCGTAAGAGGTGGTTCAGATTTTTAAGCCTCAACTATTTCTGTCATAATGTCCCATTGAACTGGAGCTATGATGAGAGTGGATGGTAGGATGGGATAAGGAGAGAGAGGTTGATAAGCACTGATGGGATAGAGCATCTGCTTTAGTATTCTTGGACCCTGGGCGGTAGGTTACAGTGAACTGGAACCAGGTGAAGAACAATGCCCACTTTGCCTACCTGTGGTTCAGCCTTTTGGCGGTGCGAAGATATTCCAAATTGCGATGATCAGTCAACACTGTGAATGGGAATTTTGATCCCTCAAGCCATTGTCTCCACTCCAAAAAATGCTGCCTTCATAGCTAGTAATTCCCCACGTTGTAATTTGCTCTGCTTGGCTCAATTTGTGAGAGAAATATGCACATGGAAAGAGTTTGGATGGATCACTGTGGCGTTGGGAGAGGATAGCTCCCGTGCTGGATAGATGCCCATGCTGGAAGCAAGTATCTCCAAGACAAATTCACACTCAGGGTCTGGATGATGAAAAATGGGGGGCCGTAGTGAATCGTTACCTTAAGTGCAGGAATGCATTGTCCACAGCCAGTGACCAGGATAAACAGATGTGTGCTTGAAGAGAGTCTGAATAAATGAGAATGTAATTGATGTATACTATGACCCATCTGTTGAGTATGTCATGGAAGACATCGTTAATGAAGGCCTGGAAAACGGAGGGACTATTGACAAGCCTGAACGGCATAAGCTGTGTAGCGAATCAGCTCAAAGGGGGAATATGCATAATTAATCATAACTAGTTATAATTAATTATAAATATTTAGATTCGCTGTAAGTATTTACTTGACCTCTCAGGGTCAACTGTCTGTCAATTCTAAGAACGTTAATTTCCTGGTTAAGGGAAATAACTTTCTTACTGTACAATACCACACAGAGCATGTAGCAAAAATCAGCATGATGAGGGACTGCGATTATGAGCAAACAATGAACAACCTCAGGTGTGATACAAGTAAGACTTTATTAAATACATAAACACTTAAACTAGTCTAACACACTACATAAACACTTAAACTGGTCTAACATACACATAAACACTTAAACTGGTCTAACAGCATGATTAGGGACTGCGGTTATGAGCAAAAAATGAACAGCCTCAGGTGTGATACAAGTAAGACTTTATTAACTACATAAACACTTAAACTAGTCTAACATACACATACACACACACACACACACACACGCATACAGTTGGTACAGGAAAAGGACTAAAGCTTAGGCAATAAAGAGAAGAGAAATAAAACATGAAGCTATGGTACCATTTGATATTCAGCAGATCTACAGCCTGAAGGAAACATCAGTTTCTTAGTTCAAACACACCTTTGTAAGATACTTAATGTATCTATTAATAAGACTATACTTTGATACTTGCACGTCTTGTCTGTCTGAGAGTCCTGATGCAATCTGAAGGCTCAAGTTGATCTTTGCTGAAGTTGGTTGATGAAAAAGAACCAGTTTGAGTCAGAGGATCTTGGTGAATGGAAAGTAAAGACCGAAGCCTGGCGCGAGCCTAGGGTGTCCTTAGGAGCGTTCTAGCTCATATTCTCATCTTCTCAGAATCTAACAGAACCGCAGACTGGAGGGAGGTCACTGATGTGAGGCCTTTAAGGCCTGACAAGATTCACGCCTCTCAGGATAAGCTTGTCCAATGAGAAAGGCTGAAATTCAAAGCGGGAGTTTGGAAAAACTGGGGAGTTTTATGACCCTTTGTGTGAGAGCATGGTAATTTGCATATGGAACTTGAATCAAAATTACTAAAGATTCTTAGAACACTAATATATTGCCTATGTACCAACATATAATATACACGCTCGTTTAGATCATCAGAAGGCGAATTCATAGATACTAAACATGGTAGGATTACATATAGGTAAGATGACAGGAACGAGTGGTTCCATCATAAGCCTGCATAAAACAGTATACAATATAAAAGACAATATACAAGGACAGTAACAACATACACAATGACCTGAAGAATATGTGTGTTCATTCAAAGAAAGGCGCTACAAATATCCCCCCTTTCGAATGTTGTTGTCCGTAGAATAGACAACAGCGAGCGACGTCAAAGGTGCCTGACATCAATCAGACACGCACAGAAAGTTTTTCTATGAATTAATTGGAGAAGAATTCATTTTTATGGGCATTGTGTGTCTTTCCTAAATGAGGAAAATTAGTGAGTTTCTCTGCCCGCATTCCTTTGGGCAATAAAACCAGTGATATCAGCATTGGTTGCCATGGAACCAGAGGCCTGTTCTGCCCTTCGGAGGTGTTAGATGCATTTCGGGGGAAGGGTCCATAGACCCTCATAATTGGTCCTTTGTTTAGGTGAGGGGGTGTTACATATTATTTGTTAAATATAACAAATAGTTGTGTGTCTGATTGGTCCAAATGCTACATAATTCCCCCCTTTCGAACGTTGTTGTCCATCCAATAGACAACAGCGAGCGACGTCAAAGGTGCAGAACAATCAGACACGCACCTGCCACTCACGGCTGGGAGACAGTGGTGGCTCTCTGGCTGTTGTTGCCTCCAGGAGTGGTTGTGGTGCCATGGTGGATGCTGTCAGGTGGTGTGCTGTGGTGATGTAGGCTGTAGCAAGGTGAGGGTCCTCGAGCTTATGCAGCAGGTGTCGAGGCTGTGTCACCTGTCATCCTGAAGTGAGTTGGTCTGGGTAAGATGGTTGTTTGTCGATGTTGTTAGCCAGTAGGCTATCCGTGGTACCCGCGATGTGGAACAGCCGGGTTAGACTCTGGTGAGAGTGCAGGTGGTTCCAGGGATTGCAGGGAATTATGGAAATTTTGTAGTGTGTAGAGAGTTTCAGACTGACCTAGTGATGATGGCAGGAGAGCAGCAAGTGGTTGTTAGCCCTC